TTTTTCATAGGAAAAATATTTTGCCAAAGTTGGAATTAGGGAATTCATTATCCCACTGATCTTTGAGCATATTGTTAGCTTTGGTTGGCAAATCTAAGAGAGGGTGAATCGGGCTAAAATTTCTGTCCAAGACGAGTGATTGAATACAGCAAATAACTTAACAACATAAATGGACTGTTAAGCACGAGTGACGAATGTAAGAATATAAGGATGAGAGTGCATACACAGCGAGTTATTTTGGTTCAGTACTTTAGCTCCTCAACCCGGACCCATATGTACTTTCTAAACTCTTCATTTGAGATTTTCAATCTATTACACCCTTCAAGTTCGATCTAAATGATTGAGAAGCTACATACAATCCTCTTGATAATCCCAGGTCTAATCACACTCCCTTTTCTTTTATTTTATTTTGAGTAAGCAAGCTCTACGGGCAGGTATGGAACCCTGACTCCTAGTGCCACAAGGGCACCATTTGTGCCACGAGGCCAACAGTCCTCAGGCTCTTCTTGGAGCAATCTAATCCCCTCAAGATTCTGAATCAGTTTTGAGTAAAGCTCTTTCAAGACCGTTCATCAAGTGATCAACAAGATATTTTCTCTCAAAGTTTAGATGAGTATAATGAAGGTTAATGAACATCAAGTGGCTAACTCAGATCACAACTAATAGAGCCTTTGCACTAAATATGATTAAGGTTGTTTTTTCCCACTCAAATGCAACTTCTATATATAGATTTTCTGAGCAAAAAGACATTAGACACAAGATCTAGCTGTCATTCACTAAAATTAGCCATTAGATGAGAGTATTTAATGCATGTATCGAAGAAAAGTAATTAGTCCAATGGTCGACTATGGCTCACTAGTCGAATAAAGCATAGACATGTCCTAATTTATATAGAAGCTCTCGATAGACGACCAGTGTGAAGTAAGTGAATAATTATTAGAGTAATTCAAAGTTTGAACAATTAAGCACAATCATAGCCACATATTTGAGACTAGATTTATCATCATATAATCTTCAAGTTTTTTCAGAAATTAAGAGTAGTCCAGTGGCACGTCATAGGTGTGTACTATATTTTCCCAAAAACATATTTTCATACAATAGTAGACAGCTAGTGTGTCACTAGACAATTAATTAATGGGTAAAGGTGCACAAAGCACCCTGATCTATTTTTGACAGTGCACCCAGCATCCTAAACTATTTAATGATGCAATTTTACCCCTCATCTAATAAAATTGGAGCAACCTCATCCAAACTTAACGCCTATGTAACTCCGTTATTTCTTATAACGGCTGGCCATTTGCCTTTTTTCTTAATGACAGGTAATCTCTTGAGTGTCAGAAGAGGCGATTGTTTTGAGGGGGGAGTATTGTTCATCATCTTCTTCGTGGAGGCGCAATTGAGGGAGCACGGTTCATCTCTCTCCTTCTCTCTCTATCTATGTCTGAGCGGCCATGGAGAAAAGTGTTGGCTTTATAATTTTTCTGAGCTCTTCAAAATTTATTCTGGGTGAAAGCAATTATAATTAAATCCAGAGAACAGCTATCTAATATTATCAAGTTTTTGCTTTCTTCACTTGAGCAATCTGGGAAAGGACGGTTTTGTTTCAAATTCACTTTTTTTTATTTCTACTAAAATGATAGCATATTTGTTTTCTCAAGTAAAATAACTAAGTTGGTTAGAATACTTTAATTGACCGGAAGCTTATCTAGTTAAGACATCATCCTCTAATCCTTTCTCCCATTGAACACCCACGAAGAAGACGATGAATCACCTCCTTTGCCACTCTAAATTAAAGATAACTTATCATTTGAAAAGTAAAAAAACAGACGGCCAGTTGTGGGAGATAACGGAGTTAGAGGCGTTAGATGTGGGTTCATATTGCTCCAATTTTATTAGATGAGGGGCAAAATTGCACCACCAAATAGTTTAGAGTGGTAGATGCTCCTCTGAAAATTGTGTAGGGTGCTGAGTGCACTTTACCCTTAATTAATTCTTCCTGAAAATATCATTTTAAGATCAACAATGAGATAGTTGAAGAGCTCTCTATAGGCACCTATGAGTTTGAATTTTGTAATGTCTATATTATAGCCTCTTGTTATTTTCATGTTCAATTAAATAATCAACTCTTGACAAGCAGATTAATGAAACAATTCAAATCTAACTTTGTTTTAAGAACTAGATTTGTTGATATAATATTCACGTTTTCGTTATGAAAATTTGTTTAATAAAACTGTAATGTGTAATTTTTTAAAGACATTATATTTATATATTTACATGTACATAAGAAAGGAAGAAAGAAATAAAATAAGAATCAACCAAAAAAAAACAGAGATTGCATTTACCATTTTATTATATTTTAAATTTTTTTTATTAATTTCTAAAAGACATATAATAATTTTTTTATTTATACTATTAATTTATAACAAATATTCTATTTGTATGTATCATGAGTGAAACCTCAACTAGCCTTGAACCTATTCAACTTTCTTGATCCTTCACTCGCCCGAGTAGTATCAGAGCCTTGTTATCTAGACAGAACTAAGATATTATTAGTAATGGTAAGTAAAAAAAAATCATGAGTGAAACCTCAACTAGTTTTGAAACTGTTCTACTTTCTTCATTCTTCACTTTCCCGAGTGGCACAAGAGGCTTGCTATTTAGACAAAAGTGAGATATTATTAGTGATAGTGAGTAAGAAGATTCCATTAAACAATAAGTGAAACCTCAACCAGCCTCGAACCTATTTGACTTTTTTCATCCTTCACTTCCCCGAGTGGTATTAAAGCCTTGCTATTTAGATAGAAGTGAGATATTATTAGTGACGATGAGTAAGAAGATTCCATTAAACCATTGAAGAGGCCAAGAATTAGTTCTTATTATAAAGATTTATTAAGGATTAAAAATCTTATTGATTGGAGGAAGTTGTTTCCTTAATTAATTAAAATATTTCGAAACAAAAGACTTTTAATAAACAAATTAATGTTTCAAACAAAATATTTTATATTAAGGATTATAAGGAACGATTCCTATGATAAATATCAAATGGAGTATTAATATTAATAGTGTTAAGCATAGAATAATTTTTTTTTTTTTTACAATTGTATATATTTCAATACTTTTTCTAATTCTTATTATAAGAACATTTCCTCATATGTTTAGTATGAAACCTTTCGTCCATAACATACAGCCTCTTGTGATTATGAAACTTCATTAAGAATAATAGGACCACACATAAGTAGAGCAGGGCTGGGCAGAACCTCTACCCAATGCCCAGCTCGAAAGATGAGTGAGCTGCATTTTACAGTCCGCTGCTCGGCCTTGTCCAATGCAAACCCTATTAATTTTGGGCAGGACAGGATAGGACTAGGTAAGGTAAGGTGTGCTTCGTTATCCATATAGTAACACCTTCCTCATATAGTATATGAAGAAAAAAATTCAAATGGGATCTCTAGTAAATAATATTGTAAACTTCAAATATATTAATAATTTCTAACAACAAAAGTTAATGGTTTCTACGTAAAATTAAGGGGAAAAATCTATCTAACACTTCTAAAGTCATTCAAGATGCCTATATAACATCTATTTATAAGAGAACATTCAGTTAATAAGATAAGTAGGCTATAAATGCAAAAAAATGAGGTGAAAATATAGCCTCTATGTCTATGCCATTTTAAAAGTCACCTAAAATCAAACTAAGATATAAAGTAACATCAAACTTTTGAGAGATATGAGCAATGAATGGGTATTTGAATACTTCAGCTCTTATAAATTCTAATCCAAAATTTATGCATGACACTCTAGTAGCTTTCAAAATGTGCACCGTTACCTTCTGCGCTCCAATTTTTCCTTTTAAATTCATCATATTTGTGGCAACTGATTGCATAGTTGAGTTCTTGAAAATTTTTTGGTATTATTTAATTTTTCTTACCATCACATATTAATGTGTCCCCAAAAAAAAATAGAAATATATTATATATAATTTTATATAAAATAGAATAACATATATTTATTGGGCAGGACAGCACACCTAGCCCAATACCTAGCCCTGCCAGTACTTAGTCCGACCCCAACATGTCCAAATTATTTTCAGCTTAGTTTTTTTTTTTTTTTTGAGTTGGGCTGAGAATTTTTTGTTCGGGCTCGAGCAGACAAACCGGGCTAGTAAATTACACGAACACTCCTAAAGAATAAATTTAAATTTTAGGAGCATCAACTAATTTTAATTGATTTTCTTAATAAATATAATTAATAAAGAGGGAGTACTGCAAAAATATATATACCAGTTTGGATTGTTGGATCACACGAAAGAGGGGTCATATAATCTCCATGATGACCACCGCTGGATTTTATGGGCATGTAATCGTCACAAGTGCTTGACTGATCTCAAAAATCGAACTGCTCGAGTGATCAATCTTTTGATTGTTAAACGACGGGTCACTAGCCCTAAAGTATCGGATTTCAATTTTCAATATCATTTGTTGGAAAAGAAAAACAGCTAGAGCTTCCTTGTATTTTTGTGTATTTGTTATGCGCCATTCTGGTTAGTTCACAAAAAAGATCTGAATTCTAGAAGTCCCTTAGTATTCATCGTTGGCATTGGCAAAAGACGAATTAGCCCTGGCTTCCTGGCTTTGGATCCCAGGGTAACAGAGCCTGACACTTATATTCAAGGCCTTCTCCTCTATTTCTTCTATTGTAACTCCCCCCTCCCTATTCTGTAATCCTGTAAATAATTTCCTTTCTCCTTCTACTGCTACAATACAAGATAATTTTATGACTCCAATCCTAAATATAAAACCCTCATACTAGTGATAGGAAGAATATTAATGTCATTTGGCCTTTTATCAAAAAAGAAAATAGAGGGAAGGAAAAGAAAAGACCACAATATCTCTCTCACAAACGCTGCTGCATGTATTTATCATGCCCCTCTAATTTGGCATTAATTGTGCAAATAAGCGTAACTCCGTCAACTTTATTTTTTTAATTTAAAGGAAAAATACTTGGCACTTGCAAAATCACATTTTGTATCTCGTTCTGCTTACAATTTTACATCCTAATTAACCAACTGCTGTCAGCAAAATCCAAACTCCAACTTCTTGACTACGAGTTCCTTGTTCCACTTCGGTCAAAAAAAAAAAAAATCCTTGTTCCACCATCATTAATGCAAGTACACTAGGTTGGTTTTCTTTCCAAATGAATCTACAAGTAAAATTTAAAAGAGCGTAAAATTTTAAGTTCATTCGTTCCCCTCACACTCACGTCATGATCAGTGAGAATGAATAGGCAGTTGGGAGCTCCAATATGGCAAAAGAAAAATTTTTAAGGGCAGTAGTGAGAACTAGAAGAACTGCTTTGGCTCTCTTTAGTAGAAGGAGACACTGTACAACAGCTTTCGCCGGTGTTGTCTCTCGAAAGTGGAAATAATGTCATCAATGGACTCCTCCCATGATTCAACAGCTTCAATCTGTGCACAGAGATATATCATAGGAAGTGAGCCGATAGAGTAGATATACTATAAGTACAATGAGAAAACATAAATTGCATGAATGAAACAGACATCCTGGCAAAGGTCTAAAGTAAGCCTTGCTCCAATGGCAGCCTCCTCGTGGTTATCCTTCACCTCCAAGTTTATAATCAACACAGTTTTCATCAGAACATGATCTCTGTTGTGGAGATCTGCACATTTTTACAGAACAGTCAGACTCAGATTTACGCTCTCTCAAGACCAAAGGACTTGATATGGTCTTCAATCATCATATCTCTAAGGAAGCTTTCTAATGATGGATAACAAATCCAGCTGCCACAACAACGTTTCCACAAGGGCTCAGCATTTGTGTAGAGTTAAGGTTGCACAATGATGAACAATAAGAATTTTTACCAAGGAAAGTAAATTCCAAAACATGTTTTAATTAAAAATCATTATCTCATGCTCATATGCAGGGAATAAGGACAGTGTATATAACTTAATAACTCAGTGAAGCTACAAGACTAAAGCAGCAAAAATTAAAATCAACCAAAGAGTACATGAACTATGTACAACACAGGTAATCGGGAAACCTATGACAATGGAATAATGCTATTCTTGCAACTATTGCGGTAAGAAACCATATTGAAGACAGAATCCCCCTTTGATGCATTGCAGTTCTGTTTTCAAGAAGAATAAATAAAAGGTGAAAGAGAAATTACATATGCAATCGCCTCGCAAATTCTTGGTTCCAAACAAAAATCATCATTGTTTTCAAATTGAACTACAAACTATACCTTATTAAAGACTAGAGGTAGTATTAAAGGAATGAGAGAATTATCATTTATCTTCCCTGCTTTATCTACAAAAGAGAGATGCCTTAGAGATGTTCAGCCATGCAATGCCATCTATATCAACAAACTTCTCAAATATGCCCTTTAAAAAAATTTAAATAAAAAAGTATCGAGAGATATTAAACAGAATAAGCAAAAATTGAGTGAACTACGTGTACCAGCATTATCGAGAGGACATCAAGCACAGAAGATGAATACACACATCTATGCACTTATATAAGTAGAAATACACAAAGGATGATTTCAAATTTTGTAGAACAACATTACTTACAGAACAAGAATTATTATCAATATGCCGTTTAGCTTTGAATCTATTTGAAATAAAACCAAAAATTAAACAGTACTTGTATAGCTGTCAATTGTCTACGGTCTCATCTTTAAGGTCACAGCGACAAACATGTTTTATGTTGCAATACTTTGCAAGAGACTACAGAAAGTAGCATGGCCTATACAGAAAGCAAGACACAACAACCTATACATGACACCTCAACGCTTTCTTCCTTCTGTTCTGAAACGTTTTCCATACTGAGTGCTTTCCAAAATGAAAATAACTCACATCTAGGCAGGGAAGGCGTTTCCTGTAAAATCAAAGTCCACCTAAAACCAATTTTTAGCTTCATTGTCATTTAACCCAATATAAAATTTAATCCTAGGATAACCCTTATTCTTCCAGGGAAGCAACCATATACATCATCTTTCAAATCGAAGTGGAGCAAAAAGAATGAAACATATCAAAATTACGAACCTTCAACAACCATATCAAAAACTTTTTCTTCAAACGTAAAAACGATGTCAAAGGATCCATCGGCAGCATTGTCCTGCCATCGTTGAGGTGCCAATTTCACTGTTGAATTCCTTTTAAGCATTGGCAAAATTCCATTTCGCTTGTAGCTGTACTCTCATTAAGGTCCAACCTTAATAGTACAACGAACAAGAATTGAAGTTCAGTGGATGCTAATGCAAGAATAATGAACAACAATGTGTGTTAATTCTGTAGTTGACACTTCACATTTTAGACACTTTAAGACATAACGTGTAAGATAACCATATATCCATGTAAAGTTTACCGACAAATGCAGAAAAGCTCTAGCTCCACCAAAGTTATCCCTACATAGTATCACAGAAGCAGAACAGCTAGAGCTAGAAAAGGGAGAAAAATTCTTGTCTCCTGTTTGCTCGATAAATCACCCCGTATCAACACTTCACAATTTACGAATGAAATTAGAAGTGAATTCATTTTCTGAAAATCCGAACACATCAACCAATTTCAGTATACTGGCCCGAACACTGAGGTAGGCACAGGGTCGATTACAGCGTATTATAATTAACCAACAAGTTTCTGCTATCTTTTTCGCCAGAGAAAGAGGATAAAGTGAATGAAAAAGAAAGACGAGTAGGAAAATGGTTGAAAAAGAAGGAGGATACAGTTCTTGGTCTTTTCTGCGAAGATCGTCGAACATCTGCTTGTAGGGAGTTCCAAAATCGTAGACATTGGGTTCTCTGAGGGAGGGCCCGGGGAGCTTAACGTGGGCACCAGTTCCATAAGAACACACATCGAAGCCCTGCCTTTTGAGGAGGGAGTGAGCCTCCATGCTTCGGTTCTGGTTCGAAGAACACACCATAGCGTACCGAAACTTCATGGTCACTGAATATGGCGATTCAAGGGATTGACCAGGAATTCACTTTCCTCGCTCCTATTGTGCGAATCGGATATTAGAATGGTGGAGTTTCCGGCCGCAATCAAGCCAGCACCACCGAAGCTAGATGAAGTGTTAGGGCATGTGCCTCCTTCAGCGGATCAATTGTGTCAATTCTCAGCTTCTAGTACTAACGGACGGATACTAACGTTGTGTTTGAGTCGACGGAAGGAAAAAGAGGAGAGAGATTTGGAATAAAAAGGGAGGATAGTTAAAAAAGAAAAAGAAAAACAGGAGGAGAGAGATAAAATCTCCTTGATTAAAGAGAAGGAGGGAGAGAAATTTTAATAATACCTTATTTTTTTAATAAAAAATTGATTATTTTAACCTCATAAAATTTAAATGAATTTTCTCACTTTTTTATTTTGTTAAGATATAACTATATATATAATATAATTGACCAATTTTGATTTACAAGACACAGTTACACATTTATAGAATATTCAGATAAAAAGTCGTGAGTGATAAATTTCAATTAGAGAAAAGATCTTAAAGGTGAAAGAAAATACCGACCATCTCTTGGAATTAGAAGAAGAGAAAAAAAAAGTTTACAAAGTCTCCCTAATTTTGGAGACAATTATCTTAATAACCTCTTGCTAGATGTTCAAAAGAATTCTTTTATGTAGAAATATTTACCACTGATTAGGGGTTAACAAATCGAAAAAATATATGAGGAATTAAAATATTATCTCTTATATCTCTCCAAAAAACCCCACTTTTGAAAGGGAGGCTAGAAGGGAATGGGAGAGGAGAAGAATCCCCTCTTTAAAAAATATCTTAACCAAACGAGAGGACGGGAGTTGTTCCCCTCCTCTCCTAAAAACTTACACTAGCCAAATAAGGGGAGGGGGCAACTTCCCTTCCCTCCGCTTTAAAAACCCTGTACCAAATATAATGTAATAAGCGACCCCTTATTGGATATAAGTATAACTTCATAACTAATTTACAAAAATTAAAAAATTATTTAAATTACTTATTTATAATAAAAAGACCTGGTTTTTCTCAAAATATCTTTATTAATTATGTATATTTGAATTATTCTTTGATAGTAAATTGGTAACTCCTTAATATGTACAATTACCATAAGAATCACTTAAGGGCAAAATAGATAAATATTAAAAATAAAATGGGTCTGGGTATTATATTGATTACTTATGACCAAATTAAATTTTGACCAACTCTTATATTAAGCACAAAAGGTAATATTAATGATTTTTTTTCACAGGCCATTGGATTATGGGGCAACACTAATATTAAATAAAATAAAAGTGTAACCAGCACTCTAATCTTATTATTCAAATACATCCAACACTATAATCTTTTGTGTAACACTCAATTTTCTAAGTCATTTAAAACACCATGTGAAAACTAATTTGATCTTAAGGTCTCAATAATAAAGTTTACACTGAAAGACTCAGCCTGTTAACCACTACAAATAAACATAAGCAATTAAACCCATAATATAATTCGAGCATAAATATCCAAGCTTGCAGTCTCAAAGTTTAACATAACATAAACCGTGGAAAAATTGAAATAAAGCGCTAAAATCTATCCATTCAAGGAATTAACAAAATAATGATTTGATATTCTAGGGTCATGGCAAATAGTAAAGAATCAAATTAATTCAGCATGTACTTGAGAAGTGTAAGAGCTACTAGCTCACTCCTCTGGTACCTTCCCTTGCTCCCTATAAGGATTGTCACCTGGAAAATGTTAAATAATTGGGGTGAGTACAAACGTCTTAGTAACCCAGAGTTCAACTACGTAGATACAACTATTACCCAACATCTTCATATTAGCTAGGCAAACAGATATTGCAACAGTTTAAATAATCATTAGCAAAATATGTAACTAATTTAATAATGTACCATGTTCATATGCAATGGATACTTCCTCCCTTATTGCTCCATCCAACCTTATTCCGTTGACTAGAACCATAGGCTTATACATGGTCTGGCCCACACACTGGACTGACCAAAGCTACTCCAGTACTTAGGATGTATCTGGCCAAAGATACAGAGCCCAAACCTAGACTATGGCTCCCCTCCTTAAAAGAACAAGGAGGTGTCACTGTCCCACGTTCCCCTCTACAAACCGGGCCAGGTAAGTATTAAGCAACGGGACCCTAAAAAGCCCAACCACTTTGCCTGGGAGCAAACCACGTGGTCACATTGTCACATTCAATATCATAACCAAGTCCAACCGCCTATGCATGTCATGTATATAATATCCAGTTTATGCAAGCATGCTTGAAAGAAAACGAATTACCATAAATTTTTACGAAAATAACCAAGACGCATTCATGCTTAAAGGAGAACTCAAATAACATAGAAGATAATACAATTTTATTCTTTCACCTTTTTAGTCTTATCTATTTATTTGTAACAATTAAGTCGATAGAGTCAATGCAAATTTAATCATGATGGATAAAGATTGTATACACATAGAAAAACCCCAAGTTACCTGGTTTCTTCTAACTCTCCAACAATCACAATAATAATTCCAATCAAGAAGGCTCTCGGAGAGAGTCTACAAAGTCAACATAATGAAATATTAATTTACAATTTGAGACCAAAAAAAATTATATTCTATACTTATTTTAGTGTTACATGGCAGTTACTCTAAAATTTCAAAGTTATCCTAAAGCCCAAACACATCTTACTAATTTCTTCTAATTAACTTTCCATAAGTACTATTAAAATTTTACACTTCATAATAACTTATATGAAATCCTTACTGTATGTAAAGTTCAAGATATATATATATATATATTTAGCCTTCATCCCACTAACCATTGTAAATTATTATATATATATGTTACCGAATGTATTATAGATATATACATGCCTATATATTTTTAGGGTGGAGTGCCGAATGTCTTGTATATTTATGTATATACATTACCAAAAGTCTTATATATACATACTTGCCTACATATATATACATATACACACTTATAATTAGAAGGGAGAAGTACCGAACAGGGTGATGATATAAAGAGGTGTATATATATATTTATTCACATTTATAAGCTGATTGTAGACATTAGATTTGCAAAACCCCAAATCTTTTACAGCTTGTAAATTTATAAATCATGGTTGGACTCATCATTTTTTATACACACACGTGCATGGGTTTAGGAGGCGGGATAACATTAAAATAATTTAATCAAAGGTACTGCAAATCCTGAAATCAGCGTGACATTTGAGTGCAAAAAGGATAGAAGAAGTGTCGTAACCTACTAGTGTCCAAAGTTAACATTAATATACAAGAATATTTTATTGTGTATTTTTATGGGCCTTATGACATCTGACAAGGAAAGAAAAAGTGTACAAGAAGGATAAAGTAACGAACAGGAAGTGGAAATAGAGAAAGAATCAAATGGTAACCCATGTAAATATCTAAAGGTACTTTAATTCACAGTAGAACGTGATCTGGAGAAAGTTATATATATATATATATATAAGTTAAGACTATAATTGCAAAAAAAAATTGAGAATTCAAAAGGTCAATATACCTGGAACACCTAGCCACATAAATTTCAAGAAAAGGAAAGGCAAAAAGAAAGAGAGCCAAGTAGCACTCTGCGTAATATGATAAAAGGGGAGTTAATGAGAGGGAAGAGAAAAAGAAAAGAAAGAACAGAGAAGTAGAAGAGGTACCTGACGGCAAAAAAAGACTGGAAGAGAGGACCCTATGAAAAACTAGGTTTAGGCTACCTATATATATGAAAATAGAAAATTTAATAATTTTTTTTTTCTGATTAGCTAGAATTCCACGGAAATCATTGAAACATATATATATATATAGATATAAATATGTAAATATACATATATCTTTAAAAAAAGGAAAGCTTAGACGATATGACACATTTATATATTCCTACCAAAACTTTCGCCGTTTTATTATATATATATATATCTATACTCTTAGTAAATTACTGTTATTTTCCTTAAAGATATTGTGTATATATATAATTATATAGGTGTATTTGTGTTTATTTGATTTGATTCTCTTTTAAATATCTCATTTTTTGAATTAATCATATGTATATAAAATTTCTTTTATTTACCTTATCAAAGATTTAATCCAAATTTTTTATAAATAACTACTTACAAACCCAAATAAAATTTAGGATGTTACAGTTCTCCCCTCCTAAATGAAATTTTGTCCCCAAAATTTAGAGGTATTCAGACCAAAACAACCAATTGCAACCAAAATAATACGTCAAACAAACAGAAGAAGCATACAAATTAAACACATACCTAAGTAAACAAGTGGGGATATTCTTATTTCATCTTTTCTTCGGTTTCCCAAGTAGCATCACCTGGGGGCATTCCCCTCCATATGACCTTAACAAGTCGGATGGTTTTGTTTCTTAACTGTTTATCTCTAACATCAATAATTCTTTCTGGTTTTGCTTTGTAGGTCATATTTTCTCGTAATTCAATCTCCTCTAGTTCAATGATATGGGACGGGTCTGGATGATACTTTTTCAACTTTGATACATGAAATACATTGTGGACATTGGCTAAAAGAGGAGGTAAGGCAACCCGGTAGGCTACCAGCCCAACTTTTTCGAGAATCTCATAGGGACCCATAAATCTGGGAGTCAACTTCTTAGCTCTAATTGATCTTCCAGTGCCTGTCATTAGCATGACCCTTAAGAAAACATAGTCACCTACCATGAACTCCAACGTCGTCTTCGCTTATCAGCATAGCTTTTCTGTCTACTCTGAGCTGTGCGTAGCTTCTGTTTAACTAACTCAATTTTGTGGGCAGTTTGATATACTAAGTTAGGTCCCAATATGCTTCTCTCACTCAACTCGGTCCAGTAAAGGGGAGATCTATATTTCCTTCCATATAGTGCTTCGTATAGTGTCATTTGGATGCTAGAATGAAAACTATTGTTATATGCAAATTCTACAAGTGTAAGATGACTATCCCAGCTTCCTTTCAACTCAATTGCACAAGCTCGTAACATATCCTCAAGAGTTTGGATGGTTCTCTTTGACTGTCTATCAGTTTGAGGGTGATAAGTGGTGCTAAAATTCAACCAAGTACCTAAAGAGTGATGCAATGATTTCCAGAACTGTGAAGTAAAACATGGGTCGCGATTCGACACAATACTCTCTGGCACCCCGTGCAACCTAACTATTTCATCCATATAAATCTGAGTGAGCTTTTTCAATGGGTAGTTAGCCTTGATAAGTAGAAAATGAGCCGATTTAGTTAAATGATCCACAACGACCCAAATGGCATCATGCCCCGATGGGGTTCTAGGTAAACCCATGATGAAATCCATAGTAATGCTATCCCATTTTCACTTCGGGATGCTTAAGTTCTGCAATGGTCCTGGAGGTTTTTGATGTACAATTTTGACCCATTGACAAGTCAAGCAACGAGTGACAAAATCAATTACATCCTTTTTCATTCCTGGCCACCACCAATCATTCTTCAAGTCATGATATTTTAGTCGCCCCAGGATGGATGTTGTATTTACTCCTATGAGCCTCATCCAATATAAGTGTCTTCATCCTATCATCATTAGGAAGGCATACTCTTCCTCTGTACCGTAAGAGCCCATCATTGCTAACCTCAAAGTCTTTACCCCTTCCTTCCTCAACTTCCTCTCTAACTCTTAATAGAAATTCATCCTCTAGTTGTGCAAACTTAACTTCTTTCCATGTTACCCTCTCGATTGTCAATGCTTCTATAGTAGCAAACAACCCGGAGATCTCAATAGGGACATTTTGGGCATCCTCTAACAATCTCTACTTTTGAACCATCATTTGAGCTGCATGGATAGACTTTTTGCTTAGAGCATCTGCGACAACATTAGCTTTTTCGGGGTGGTACTTCAACTCATAATCATAGTGTTTCAAAATTCCATCCACCTTTTTTGTCTCATGTTGAGTTCCTTTTGGTCAAACAGATATTTCAAACTTTTATGATCACGGAAGACTTCAAACAGTATCCATAAAGATAGTGCCTCCAGATCTTTAAAGCCAGTTCTAAGTCATGTGTAGGATAATTCTCCTTATATGGCCTTAGTTGTCTTGAGGCGTAAGCGATAACCTTACCATTTTGCATTAACACACACCCAAGACCCTTCTTTGAAGTATTTGTGTATAATGTGAATGTTGTGTGGGGTCAGGGATCACAAGCATAGGTGCTGTAGTCAATCTGGTCTTTAGTTCTTGGAATGCTGCCTCACACTTTTCAGTCCAAAGAAATACACAATTCTTCTTTGTCAATTTCGTTAAAGGCATGACTATTTGTGAGAATCCCTTAATGAATCTTCTATAGTAACCTGCCAATCTTAGAAAACTCCTAATCTCGGTCACACTTTGCGGCCTTTCCCAATTCAACATTGCCTTAACCTTATTAGGGTCTACGGAAACCCCTTCTGCCGACACAACGTGTCGTAAAAACTTAACTTTCTTAAGCCAAAATTCATACTTGGATAGCTTCGCATAGAGCTTATGCTCCCTTAATACCTGCAGTATCATTCTAAGATGCCCCTCATGCTCTTTCTCATCTTTAGAGTATATAAGGATATCATCAATGAAGACCACCACAAGTTTATCCAAATAGGGCTTAAAGATCCTGTTCATGTAATCCATGAAGACTGCTGGGGCATTGGTCAACCCAAATGGCATGACTAGGAACTCATAGTGCCCATATCTAGTACAGAATGCAGTTTTTGAGATATCTTCAACTTGCACTTGTAACTGGTGGTAACCTGATCTCAAGTCGATTTTGGAGAAAATAGCTGCTCCATTCAATTGGTCAAGCAAATCATCAATTCGTGGTAGAGGATATTTATTCTTTATAGTTACCTTGTTCAGTTGGTGATAATCGATACATAATCTCATGCTTCCATCTTTCTTCTTCACAAAAAGTATTGGTGATCCCTAAGGGGAAACACTGGGCCTTATGAAACCCTTCTCCATTAATTCTTCAATCTGCTTCTTTAACTCTGCTAACTCTGTTGGAGCCATCCGATAAGGAGCTTTAGAGATGGGCTCCGTTTCGGGCACAAGGTCAATTGCAAATTCTACCTCTCTTTTTTGGGGCAAACCTGTGATATCCTTAGAAAACACTTCAGGAAATTCACTTACTATCGCTATATTTTCAACTCCCTCTTCCACTTCAGCTTGAATGGAGAAGAATACCATATAAGCCTCATACCCCTTTCGTATACATCTCTCAACCTGTGCAGATGACAGTAGTTGTGGTCTATTGTAAAGATTCAGAGCAGCTGGTAGGGAAACAGTCTTCCTCTTACAATCAAGGATGGCATGGTTTGCGGATAACCAATCTATTCCCACTATGAGATCGATACCCCATAAGGGTAAACAAACTTGATCTATAGGTGAAATCTTACCATCAAACTCAAGCACACAATTTAATGCAGTCTAGGAAGTTCTTACTGAAGCTCCAGCCGGTGTAGAGACAATCATATCATAAGGCATTTTATAAACACAAAATTTCAATCGCAGCACACAATTATCAGATACAAATGAATGGGTTGCCCCGGAATCAAAAAGAGCTTCAATTTCAGAGCCTTGGAGTTTGAGAATACCTTTTATGAGATTTGGTACTCCATTCGCCTCTTGTTAGGTTATTGCAAACACCCTGCCTGGAACAATGTTTCAATTCTCATGAGCTCCTAATGAGTTAGTCTCACAAAATCTAGCAACATGGCCTGGCTTTCCGCACCTAAAGCATATTAAACACCTGCTTCTCGAATGCATCCTCCCACACTTGCCACACCTTTGGCTATTTGCTGTAGTGGTGGTAGGAGCAAAAGAACCCTCGGCAGAATTTTGTCCTCCCATAAACTAGCTCCTTGAAGGTCCGCTATACTGATTCCTTGGAGGTCCATTGAACTGGTTTCTTGGAGGCCCACTGAACTGGCTCCTTGGAGGTTGTTGGGGCCGCTTACTTGATCTTCCAGCACTATAACTGTTCCTCTTACTAACACCCCCAGTAGGTCTCATGCAAGATGCATACTAGCCTTGGGATTCCTTCCTCTTTTCTGCTTCTTCTTCCCTCATCCTTCTAGCAGTGATGCGCAACTTAGTGCATAACTTTTCAAAGTCCTCTATCTCAAATGGTGCCAATGTTGTCCTCAATTCTGGCCTAGCCTTCTCCAGCAATCGCTCACACATTCATTTTGGATTATGGTGCTCCTGAAGGTAAGTGCTATATTTAGACAGTTCCAAAAAGCGAGCAATGAACTCATCTTCATGTAGATTCTCTTGTTTAAAAGCATAAAATGCAACCTCTCTCTCGGCTCTAATAGCTAGAGGGAAATAATATTGCATGAATTTATCTTTCAATTCTTCCCAAGTAATGAATGCATCATCATCAGGTTTCATACTATCCCACTACTACTGGGCTACTTTTTGTAACAACTGCTCAGCTAGTCGCACCTTTTGATGGGAGGTGCATTGGACAATCTTGAAGATCTTTTCTACTCGCTTCACCCATTCCTCAGCTTTAGTTGGGTTGAGTTTTCCTTCAAATATTGGAGGGTTAAACTTTCGGACACTCTCAAATTTGAGTGATCTTAGCAAGTTTAGGTTGGGAGAGCTTGCTAGTACTGTTGCTAGACTTATGCTTGGAGCCTCCCGTAAAATGGTGATCACTGGGTTCATCGATAAGAGGGCTTTTTCCTTGGCAGGGCTATTATTCTGTTCTTTCATTGCAGCTAGTTGTTCTTCATGCCTGTTCAATATCTATCCTATGTTTTAGACTGCGTCTCTTAATTCCCTCAAAATGACATCATTGCCCTGCGAATGATTTTGGGGAGGTGATGAAGGTGGGTTTGTGTTGGTTAGTCGTGTAGTTTGTCTAGTGTTCACCGTTCTTCTCCCCTCCTACGTAAGGCCACCATAAAAGTTAAAGTTAGCCAAAGGAAGAGAAATAATTAAAGTAATAGGATATACAAGGGGAAGGGAAGGGCACATGCTGATATCTACTTGCCATGACCTCTAACTAGATCTTAGTGGGAAATAGCAATGAAAATAAAAATAGAAAAGGCCATGGAACGTTGTGGCTCTGATACAAAAAATGTAACACCCAATTTTCTAAGCCATTTAAAACACCATGTAAAAACTAATTTGATCTTAAGGTCTCAATAATAAAGTTTACACTGAAAGACTTAGCCTGTTAACCACTACAAATAAACATGAGCAATTAAACCCATAATATAATTCGAGTATAAATATCCAAGCTTGAGTCTCAAAGTCTAACATAACATAAATCGTGGATAAAACTTGAAATAAAGCGCTAAAATCTATCCATTCAAGGAATTAACAAAATAATGATTTGATGTTCTATGGTCATGACAAATAGTAAAGAATCAAATTAATTCAGCATGTACTTGAGAAGTGTAAGAGCTACTAGCTCACTCCTCTGGTACCTTCCCTTGCTCCCTATAAAAATCGTCACCTGGAAAATGTTAAATAATTGGGATGAGCACAAATGTCTCAGTAACCCAGAGTTCAACTACATAGATACAACCATTACCCAAACATTTTCATATTAGCTAGGCAAACAGATATTGCAATAGCTTAAATAATCATTAGCAAAATATGTAACTAATTTAATAATGTACCATGTTCATATGCAATGGATGCTT